TGCTGTCAGCTAATTTGTGTTCCTACAGCATTAGCACCCGGAGGCCCCTCAGGGTGAGGACCTCTCTGCATGAGGTGCTCTGCAAACCGCTGCATGGGCTCAGGACCTTGCAGTTTCAGGATTTTCTTCAAAGTGCCTCAGTAAGGAGAGGAGACCTTTCCGTGCTTTTGGTCGAGGCTGGGTTATGCTCAAGGCAATGGTGTGTCAGTGGAAGTGGCAGTCCAGTGCTTCCCTTAAATCCAAGTACATTTATATTAAAAGGGAGCAAACTATGCTACCCCCATTGTTTTTCAGTTGTTCTTGGGGCAAGGCAAGTGTGACATTACAGATCTTTGTTACCAAATGTGTGAAACCTGCTCCTGCTGCAGCCGCAGGGTTGAGTTCAGTGGGAACAGCTCCAACATGCTACGCTGGTTCCAACAGCAGTAGGCATGGGGAGAGACTTGCCTCTGGTGCCATGCCCGTACAGCCACAGGGAGAGCAGCTGCTGGGGCGAGTTTCCCTCGTTATACTGAGAGCAGTCTTCCTCCAGCATTTGGACATGTTTTTGACAGAATGTGGAAAATGCATAGCTTGACTACATTTTTATATGGTTTCAACACCACCTTTCATAGGAAGGAACCCCTGTAGGCAGGGCAATGCCAGGGATCGGTGGCTGTCACTTCCACTAGCAGTGTTATTTTTCCATGCAGGTTCCTGATGCTGCAGGGGAACCCACCAGCAGCTGTATCGGGCCCACCAACTGATAGTACATCGAGTAGACCCTCGTCTGCAAAGAGCCCATCATCCCCCCGCCATGGCAAAGCAAGATGATTTTGCAGCAGGTAAAGGGCTGCAGCAGACGGGAGACTTCTTCAGCCAGGGCTTGTTGCAATCCTGTTCCTGCAGCCTTTGCCTGGAGGATGTTCACCTGCAGCGCTGGTGCCGGTGCCCACGACTGCTGCTTGGTTCAGGGAGGCAGAGCATCTACAAAAGCTGCATTCAAAGCGCTGATCACAAGACCCTGGTGATGCTGGCAAGTGCAGCAGCTGTTCTTCGTGCTGAACAAGTGAAAGCCCAGCCATAGAGGCTGTGTAATGGGGAAGATATTGGCCAGGACAAAGGACAGGTGAACATGCTGTGTATAATTTTGAATTTTCAGGAGCAGCCAAGATCAGAATTTTTTTGAGGCAGGCCATGTTTATGTTGGGTTAGGGTGTCTCTGCGCTAAAGAAAGCAGGGAATAAAGCCCTGTAACTGTGAAGCAGAACAAAGGGGAAGGTTGTCCTTGCCGCAGCAAGTCGAGACTACCACACCAAAAATGTGTAGAATTCACACCAGAAACCTCACCAAAGAGAGCACATAGTAGATATTGGCCAAAAAACACCAAAATACTGGATGCTCAAAACCACACAAGGTTACAAAAAACCAACCACAGGCTGGATGGTTAAAACACTAAAACATACTAAACCAACTTGTAAACACCACAGAAATGCCTTAGTAACCCCAAAAACACGTCTCAAACTGAAAAGCCTGCCAAAAAACAAATACAAAAGCACCAAATACATTTTGGACTGTCAGAAACACCTTAGCAATGCCTTAGAAAGAGTCAAAGAGTAAGTGTTAGATGCATGCCAAAAAAAGCCAGACATGCTACACACTGAAAAACTTGCCAAAAATGGTGTGGCATATGCACACCAAAAGAACCACCCTGTGAATCAAAAGTTTGTCTTTGGTTAGTGAGGGGAGTAAAGGCTTTGGTGCCTTATTCTTGGCTGCTTCCTATCAGCAAGGGAGAGGGTGATTGCCTATTGCCTTTTGACAAGCCAGGTGTTTGAGACAAGCCAAGGCCTTCCCTTCTCAGGGCCTTTGACAAGCAGTGAGTCCTTTCCAGTCAGTTGTTTGTAGAGCTGGGGTGGTGTTGGCACAGTTGATGCAGGTGTGAATTCTGGAGCTGGGTGTTTTTGGTAGGAAGGTCGTTCTAGACCACGTTCTAGCTCGCTTTATGGTTCTAGATGAATTTCTAGATCAGGTTCTAGCTCACTTGAAAGTTCTCGAGCGGGCTCAAGCCTGCCTTATGGCTCCATTGGGTTCTGAGGGGGGAACACCTACTTCAGGCAGTTGTTTTGCCATCTCACATGGATTTGGGCTACTTAATGATTATGACAGCAGTCTCACTGGGGTATTTGCCTTTCTTCTTTTCCTTTCTTTTTTTCTCTTGCATGCTTTTTTCCTTCTTTGGGGCTCTTTTGAGCCTTCAAGGCTGTCGTGGTTTATAACACCACGGGGACAGTTTTTGCTAAACACCTGGTGGGCTGAGGCAGGGACAGGGTGTGCCTGCTTGCTGAGACGTCTTTCTGCTTTACAGAAATACTACTACTACTTTACTGGTAGTCTTCACTGAGGACAGGAGTTAGCAGGCTGTTCAGTGCTTAGCACAAAATGCTAGTATGTGTGACCCCAGCGCTGGGGATGGAGGTGATCTCTCCCACCTTTCTCTCCAAGCCTCGACCCAGGACCCCCAAGAGAGGGAGGTGAGCAGCGCTGCCTTGGAAACCATGCAGATGCAGGAGAAGCTGAAGACAAGGAGGATGCCTGAGGGTCTGTTAGCCTCACAGAGAGGTAAGGCAGGAGCCTGCCCACTCTCCTGTGGGAAAAAGAGTATTTTCCCGGTCTAGAGAGCCAGCGCACATTCCTAGTGAACAGTTCTTCCCTGCACGTGCTCCCCTGCAATAGCCTTCCCTGCTCTCAGGTCCCCTCCTGTTGCTGTAGGGACTTACAGCTGTGGGGCAGGGAGTGGAGCAGGAGAGTGTATGTGTAGGTGATTTCTGGGTAAGCACAGGTCTGTGGGCTCGCTGTTGCCTGACAGGAGCCCAGAGGACAAAGGTGTTCCTCTGGTGGCTCAGTGGAAGTGGGTAAGTGTTGTCCACTGGCCTGCTTCAAGTGGCTGCCAGCATGAGCATGGTTTCCCAGGCAGTTATTTAGAAGTTTCCAAGAAAACTGTCCGATGAAATATCTAGCTTCAGGTGCTTTAGGTTTGCAGTGCTGCTTCTACTAAGCTTTGTGTCTCTGCTTTGCAGGCCTGGCTGGCTGCAGTGAGTCTATGGGCTCTACTTCCTGGGCCGGCTCCCTGGAGGCTCCTGGTAACCTGCAAGCCTCTGCCTCCAATCCAGAACAGCCATCCTTCCTTAGAGCCCAGCAGGATGAGCCCCGGGGAAAATGGCACAGGCTGTGGTGACAGTGACAGGAATAACGAAGAGCTGATGTTGAAAGGAAAAGTATGTCAAGTAAGGATACAAAGCACAATCATGTATGGTGGATCCCTGGTTTATTTCCTGTATGCAGAGCTCCGAGACCTTCTTTCCCTGTGTTTCAAGGCCAGGGAAGCAGCAGAGTCCAGGAAGGGCTCATCTCGACATTGCGCTTCAGGCTGTCTTTGCAACCTGCATATGCAGACTTCATGTCCTCAGCATATACCAAATACGAGAAGATGTTGTTACATAGTTCCTGTGCTCTCTAGTGGCTCCTGCTGTATTTTATGACTTAGAGAACACCAGCAAGCAGTCAGAGCAACTAAATGTGTCTAATCTGCTCAAGCATATCCTTCTACAGTTAGTAAAATGCATATACAGAATCATGGAATCATAGAATGCTTTCCGTTGGAAGGGACCTTAGAGACTATCTAGTTCCAAACCCCTGCTATTGGCTGGGACACCTCCCAACAGATGGTATCTGTGAATGGCAGTTAACTGTTGCAGACACACCAGTGTCTTGGTGGCTTGGAAAAAAGACTTTTGCAGGAGCAGTCAGTCCTCCAAACTCAACTTTAGGCTGTCTCAGCTTTTGAGTTATAGAGCCTTCTGCAGAGGTATCTCTAACAACATTTCTAGAGTTCAGCGGCCCCTGCGCAGCTTCATCTCTTCCACGCGTCTGTCTGGGGGTAAGTGACAGGAAGTGGCAGTTCTCGCCACGGGGAATGGAGTCCACACCCCATCCACTGGAGTGCCTTTCCAGGAGGGACAGAAGCTGCAGATGTTTTGATTTTGCCATGGTGGGTAGGAGAAGGCAGATGAGTAACAGTAAACAGGATAACCAATAAGAGGCTTATGTACTTCATTTCAGCCTTGCAGATAAGGGCCAAATGTATCCCTGACACTAACTCTGTAGGTTTCACTGGCACTTGAACAGATCCTGATTTGGTTCTTTAGCTGTGACAAGAATGATGGGATACCAAGGAAGGGTGTGTGACTGTCCTTGCTCCCTCCATCCTCCTTCCTACCCATGGCATGGAGAGCCTGAAGTAATTTCAGCAGGCAGAGACCTTGCACAGAGCAGCAGGGTGGGGAGCTCTGCTTAACTTCATAAATGACAGTGAGCCTGAGATGATGAATTGTGTGGGAGCTGGAGAGCACCGAGCATCCAGAGAGTACGTTAGTATCTGGGCCAAAAGGCTGATGGAGGAAGGGCAGAAGCAGAAAAAATGATGGGCTTGAGCAAAGCAAGTTTTGACAGCATGCAAAATGACTTTGCAGGCAGTCGGCTGGAGTTCAGCTGGTGTGCTTTAGGGACAGGGGGAGGATAGTGATCTAAACCCATTCCCGTACCATCAGAAAGGCTAAGAGAGGCAATGGCACCCCAGAACATCTTATGCCAAGCACATGGATGCCAGGTGGGAATGCAGCCACTGCCAGAGAGGTGAGCAAGGGGAGAGAGCTGGCAACAGCATGGGACACAGTCTCTCCCTCACCACTTCCCTTTCCATTGCCCATCCTAGGCCAAGCTGCTCCATCAGTTTGACTTTTCCTGCCCAGTCTTAGCTAAGAGCATGGCTAAACTTCTTGTGACATCAAGGGGGATGGCTGGATGCTCAAGCTGAGCGCTGTGTTCCGTATTTCCAGGCCCTTCTATTGCTATCATGAGGATGGGAAGTCACCGGGCCTGGAGATGTCCCCCTGCCCTGGAGATGAGGTAAGCCAAGGTGTCTGCTTCTCCAATATCCCATTCCCCTCACACTTCTCATCTTGTGAGATTATTTTCCAGTCATCTCTCCAATGTATTTAGGCAAACTTCTCTGCTTTCACCATTTTGTGAATCTATGATGATCCTGCACAACGTCAAAACCAACATCGTACGCTCTAAGAGCAGGGGTGGCGGTGGGGAGGAGGAGGCAGGAATAAGAGGACCTTAAAAGCAAGTCTGGAGGACTCTGATTCACACTTTAATCTTTGTGGTGCCATTTGGGAACTGTATTGCATGAGTCTGAATAGAGCATCTGGTTTTGTGTGTGATCTTTGACTGCCAATGTCTGTACCTGCAAGAATACGTTAGGGCAAATATTGTCTATTGTAGAGCTGTCTACAAATTCAGATGCTGCTTCTGTAAATGTCAGTCATAACTTGTATGTGTCTGGGCCTTCCCTGTGAAATGAAAGCCCAGGTAAATCTCTGTTTATAGATGTATGATCCTATAGATACTTAATATTTACATATGTCTTTAAGATCAAAGGGGGCAAGGTGCTAGAGAACAGTTATAGGGCTGTAACTGATGGGAAGATATTTCCTTGGATATGCATGAGGAAATCTAGCTGTCAGCCTTATCTGAGTTATAACAATAAAAAAGGAGTCAAAGAAAGATAGTTCCAATTCAAATGCTTCAGCATGGCTTTTAAAGAGCAATCTGAATATCCTTGCCTACCAGTCGAGTTGAAAAACCCTTTTTTCTTCTTGAAAGAGCAGGCAGGTGTAATATTGCTCTCAGGAGACAGCAGTGGTATTGCCATGTGTAACAAGATGCTGCCGTAAGTTTCAGTAATGACCAGGGAAAGTCAGGCTTCTGCAGCAGTATAAAGGTAGCTGCCCTCAATACAGACTTACGACTGGCTTAACATCTCTTGCTGATTCAGAAAGCAGGTATGTAACAGTGAGAGCCACTTTGCTTCAAAAAGGAGAGACAGCAGAACTGGATAGTTAAGGTCTAAATTGAAGAATGATTCCTGTGTTTCAGCTGGAGCTTGATGAACTCTGTGTGACTACAGAAACTGAAAGTTTAATGGCAATTAATCAGCTTTGCATATGGTTGGTTTTATGGGTTGTCTTTCCTCCTTCATCAGAATGACCTTGCAAAGAAAGTTTGCCTCCTTTAATGCTACCCCTCCTTCTCTATCTATCCTCACATATTCTTTTCTCCTTAATTTTCCCAAGGCAAAGATCAGGCAGCAGAGGTGAAGAGAAGACTGTTAAGTCTCCAGGTAGGTACAGTGCATGGCTGCCCTAAAATGAACACAGGAATCCTGACCCATGGATGGCACTGTGAAACTTTGGTCGAAAACCATCCTGTAGGTTGTTTCAGTTCCTCATAATTGAGAGCTCCGGCGGCTCTCACAGAGCTCAGTCATTGGGAAATGTGCTCTGGTGATCCAGTGAAAATTACTCCAGCATGGAGTTATGAATGGCAGGAGATGGAGGGGTACCTTGGGGCTCTGGAAATGCACAGCAGGACATTACGACATTCCTCTACCTCATGCTCATACCTTTTATCTTCCTGCATGCTCTCTAATGTCAGAAAGATTGCAGAAAAATGAGGCGTTTTGCATGAAACGAGAAATGTTCCCACTCCTTCCTCCTACACTTGAAGGAGAAAATCTTCCTTTGGAGCAGTTTTGGAACGGAATCATTTGAGATCTGAAGTAGATTTATCAACATTGCCTATTTTTACACTGGGAGAAAGAGTGAAACCTTGTGTGATAGGAAGTTCTTGAGAATTTTCCATTTCCAGAGAAAGGGACTTAAAAAAGGATCCAGACTATGCTGGATCTGAGCTTTCTGTCCTCTTAAAGCACAAGCCTAAATTAAATGATAGAATCATAGAATGGTTTGGGTTGGAAGGGACCTTAGAGATTGCCTAGTTCCAACCCCCCTGCCACGGGCAGGGACACCTCCCACTAAAGCAGGTTGCTCAAAGCCTCATCCAGCCTGGCCTTGAACACCTCCAGAGATGGGGCATCCACAGCTTCTCTGGGTGACTTGTTCCAGGGTCAGAACTCATGCTGCTCAGTTGTGAATTTCTTCCTCATCTTCCTCATCTAAACCTACCCTCTTTCAGCTTAAACCAGTTACTCTTTGTCCTATCACCACACTCCCTGATAATGCTGAGTAATGAACTGAGGTTTCATTTTTGCAACTCGTTTACCTCAAACCACATAAGCTAGGTTTATTATTACAAATCTCTTGCCCTGCTGTATCTGCATATGTCAGTACTGCAAACTAAGGTTGGGTTACGAGATGCCTCCTGGCTTCTTCCGCTTTCCCACCTTTCATTACCGCTGCCAGTAAGAGTTCTGCAAGACAAAATGTGGTGCCTCTTTGTCAGCCAACACTTTTAAGTTGAAAACCTCAGTTCCACTGTTGCTGTCCCTTTGCCATCTGTGGGTATGCAGCAATAGGAAAGATAAGAATACAACAATTTTTCCTGATTCAGAAAAAGGGATAAGATCCGCTGGTCCCTCAGCTCAGTGTTAGTTCTGCCAAATGACGGGCATGTCCCATAGGAATGATTCCTTTATTGCTGATATGCAGCTAGGATGCTGAACGCAAGTAGGGAGAAGTATTGCTGAGTAAGGAAGGTAATGGTTTTTCTGGATACATTCTGGACTAGAAGTGATCTATATCATTAAGGCATCTCTCTTTCTCTCTTTTATTGTTGACCTGATCATTCCACAGGGAAAAAAAAATCCTGATTTAAGAAAGTTATTAATTTTTTAAATGCTTGGCTATCACATGATTTTGTCACTTGTGAAGCCAGCTAAGGAATTATTAGTTCCCACAGTTTTAACAGCTCTGTTGGAGAGTATTTCAGAATGAGCTTCACTGTGGTATTCCCATTAAGAAAATCAGCTTTCAGTGAGGCTGCCCAGGAAGTGGGCTGATCTGCTACAATTTAGAATGAAACCCCTCGGGGAAAATGAATTCTAGCTTCGAGAACACAATTCTGGTTTTGGTAACACTCCTAAGCTTTTCTTTAAATACCCTGTAAAATATTCCAGCAAAGAGGAGGAAATACTGATTCTTACAGCTACAAAGGCATATAGCTATTAAAAAACAAGAGTTATTTTAGTAACAGCTGCTCACCAGAAGCCAAAGGCTGAGGGCTTTATCATGTAATGGGTATGATGAGCAATGTCACTTCTGCTGCCAGTGCAGTATGGTAGTTAGTGTTTGTAGAGGTGATATGTTCTTTGCTGTTCTCATATACAACCTATATCCATGTCTTATCAGAGCGCCAGACTGTTATCCAGCCTCTGTCCCCAATAAAAGGTGTCCCACTCAGCCAGGCCAAGGAGACGGATCATCTCAAGAGCGCTGACCTCCTGAGTGACCATGACTGCCCAACTGACAGCAATGGAAGGGTAAGAACCAAGGACAGGGGCAAGCAGGCTTCCTTTTCAGTGGCTGTTCAGTGTTTAGCACAAAATACCACTGAAAATCCTCATCTTTCTCTCTTGGGGAGCAGATTCTCTTGGGAATACAGCTGCAGAGCAATTGCTTAGGTATTTTCACTGGTGCAGAAGGCGCGGGTTGGGAGATAGTGCTAAGGTTACTCAAGAACCATTCTTTGTGTACGAAGGCCAATTTAGAGCAGATGTTAATTGCAGAGCAAGTGACATGCCAGTGAACAGGTGAAAAGTGCATGCTTGGAAGCACAGGAGCAAAGATTTTAGAGTTGGGTGTAAGCAAGGCTGCAAAAATAAAATGGGAGAGCTTGCTTTTCCTTGGTTACCTTTCTTGCTGTATCTCACAGCCCTCTAATTTTCATTTTTTCTGTTCATTAAGAACAATATTTCTCCAACTTGTTTTTACATGACCCCTTTCTTGGACTCCTGTGTTCTCAGAGAGCAGCTGAGTCCTTCAGACACAAGGAAGTAAGAGGCAGCTGCAATTACTGGCTGTGAGTGTTAAGAAAAAGGAGTTTACCTCTCCTTGTTGGCTATTGCAGATGGGGTTTATTCCTGTGCCCTGGCCTGCAGGAACCGAATGGCCTGTTCACTGGTCATGTGAGCTCTTCATATGTCTTGGAGCACTCCTATGACCTTCTTGGTTCAAGCAAGGCCTCCTGACAAATTGAGAAAGTATCCTGGACCAGTGAAAGGTTATGGCAATGAGGTGTTACACATTACTGGGTGTAATTGTATGCCAAGGTAAGGAAAAGAGGAATTCTTCTGAAACTCTGGTGATGTGCATGGAGCTGCATTAAAGACAATGGCACTCTACCACTATGTTCCTGATGAGGTGTTGTGTATGGTTTGTGTATCTCTCTTTATGCTCCATGATTTATTTCCATTGCAACTAGGTCCATGTTGTGTTGGCGAAGTCAGCTCAGAAGAAAATAGATCAGATGCTCATGAGAGCAATGGAGCTTTTCCGGAAAGAGAAAGAGAGAGAAAAGTCCTTGCGGGTCCCTACAGAGCGCGTTGACCCTGCAGATGCAGCCCACCAAAGTAAGTGGTTGCTATAGTTATGGGTCTTTTTGTTCACTTGCTTGCGATGTGTATAGTGTTGCAAATGTCTGTGAAATTTTTCTACAGGAAAGATGAGGAGGCACTCTTGATCAGGGAGTGTAGTGATAGGACAAGGGGTAATGGTTTTAAGCTGAAAGAGGGTAGGTTTAGATTAGATTTTAGGGAGAAATTTTTTTCCTGTGAGGGTGGTGAGGCACTGTAACGGGTTGCTTAGGGAAGCTGTGGATGCCCCATCCCTGGAGGTGTTCAAGGCCAGGCTGGATGAGGCTTTGAGCACCCTGCTCTAGTGGAAGATGTCCCAGCCTGTGGCAGGGGGGTTGGAACTAGATGATCTTTGAGGTCCCTTCCGACCCAAACCATTCTATGATTCTATGGAATCAGATTGGAAGGCTGTTGCACTTGCATCTGAGTGGGAGTTCAAATAGGATTTATTTCTGCTTTCCAAAGAAAAATACAGAGGCATCAAGTGTCCTGCCTGTGACCCATGCTAAGTCAGTCACAGAATACTCCCCCTGTCCTATGAAGTTTTTCAGACTGGATAATTCTCTCTTGCAAACTACATTGACGCTTCAGACTCCCTAACTGAGAGTAACCTCTAGGAAAGGTGAACGGGTGGGTCCACATGAATGCTTTTCAATCAAGGTGCAACCTGCAAGAAACAAAATCAAACCATTTCTAATTAAAATGCAGAAGATTTGCTCACGTGATAGGACAGATTATCCTGCTCACACCACTCCCTACTGAGGAGCTCGCATTGCAGAGCTGTGCTGGAGCCCTTAGCCACGGTTTACGTGTTATCCCCATGAGCAAGCAGCATTTCTGACTTAATGGCAGCTGACAGGCTCTGATTGTACTGCTGCATGCGTTACCGGGAGTGCAGTGGCAGTGAAATTAGAGTCAGCGCTCAGCCCAAGGGCATCAGACAAAGTTATCTGCTCTTTTAATGCTCTTCTTCTGTGAAGTACTGGTGAGGAGCCCCAGAAATGTAACTTCCCTATCCAGCCTCTGAAAGAGGAAAGCAAAAGAAAGGCAGTACTGAGTTTTCCTCATTTCTTAGGGAAAGCATCACTGCATTCTGTGGTCGCTGTCCCACGCTGGTGTGCATCTGTTGATACTTGAGTTGTATGGGACAACAAAGGAATGTTACCCAGCTCCAGGAAGATTTCTAGCGCTTTCCAAGCCCATAGCCACCCTGTCCAGCACTCTCCACTGACAAGGTCCTTTTTGTTCTCTGCAGGCTTTAGCCTACCGCCTGTCAATGGTCCAGTTTCCATTGCACCCAGGATGAGCAATGGAGGCAGTGAGAGCACTGGCACGGCCTTGAGGAAGCGGGTCACCAGGCCCTTGCTGCCCAGCATCCCTGTCACCAGCCAGCATTGCAGCTTCCCGCACAACTCCTCAGGTGAGCCGGCTCCGCTGCAGCCCCTGCACTGGCTCTTTTCCTTGCACAAGGAGCACAAAGAGCCTCATTCCTCAACCACAGGCAGGATCTTGGGTCCAAAGCCTGTCCTGAGTATTGAGAGCAAGCCTGCTTTGGGTCCACCCCAGCTTGGTGATACTGGAGCAGTTGGTGCTTACAGACCCATTGAAAAGTTGAGCTGAATGAAGTAGTGGTAAAGCCTTAAGCTCTAGGCTTTGCCTGTGCTAATAGTCCAAAATACAACACTGGTGCTGGAAGGCCGCTGTATCTGCAGGGCTGAGCTGGAGTGCAGTCTGGCAGGGTGTGCTCACTGTGCACATATATGTACCATCATGATCAATTGGCCACTCACCATCTTGGCCCTCTGCCTGTGCTGCTGTCTGACTCTCCAGACAGCTTTTCTACTATCGCAGCAAGGCTTGTCCCTGCATGGAAATGAGTGACTTGGTGCAATCACGCTATTGCACCTAGAAGTGCTTAATGGCCTCTGGCCTCTCATCCACTGCCTGCAATGCAAACTGGGAACAAACAGTGCCCTTTGCTCACCCCACCCAAATACAGTGGCTGTGTGTAGCAGATGTCATACACGAGAGGCTGCCTGGTGCTCCCAGGCTGTTTGCTACCTGCAATAAATGTACAGCAGATAGTGGGAACACAGTGATTCTCAGTGACCCTACAGAGTCCATAGCAGTTTATCTAGATTCTGTGCAATATTGATACTCAGTACTTTCAGACAGCTCAGATGTTTTCATCAACATGCTAGAAAATGAGCTTTTGAGGGCAAGACATGAAGTTTTTGACCTACTGTGCTTTTGGTAACAAATAGGTTTCCTAACAAATGCATTTGCTATCTGAATTTTCTTACACCTTGTATATTTATCATCAAGAGAGTGTGTTTGCCAACAATTTGCATCTATATTTACATATTTTTATTCCCCGTTCACATTTGGAAGGCTTTTTTGTTCACAACTATCTAGACTAGAAATTGCATTTTTCCACAAGAGAACGCTTGGGCATTGCACAGTGTGCAAACATGTACATTTGATGACAAATTTCACCTCAGCATCTTTGAAATACAGCCAGTGGGTACCTCTGAAATAGTAAATATTCTTAACGCTTGGAAAATAGCAAAATCCATAAACTACTACTTTCCCAATAGCATGCTAAAATGTAGGTGCACTGAGCTGCCTTCTGTCTAGAATACTTGAAGTAAATGGGAACAGAGGCACTGCTGGATTTAGAGGCTCGGCTATCCATGTTCCCTGGTGGTTGCTCCTTGGGGATTCGCCCGAGCCCAGCAGGACCCGGTTGTTCAAGCTCTGTCCTCACCGGGGGCAGCTGGAGGTGCTTCCTCAGAAAGTTACAGGGTACCTCTGTCCCCAGCGCTCCAGGTAACAGGGAGCTGATACAGAGGGACCTGTATGGACTGGGGAGGCGGCTCTGTGTGTGCAATTTTCAGGTTTCCACAAGGAGCTGGTGCCCAGCTAGGGGTGACTGGGAGATGGTTGGGTGCTGGGGAAAGCAATGAGCCAGAGAGCAGGGAAGTCTTGGAACCAATACCATTCTGCACCCATATGTAATCATGGCTGGGAGACTGGGTTACTGCTCGCTGGTGGGGTGCCTCGCCTTGGTGTATGCAATGCCAGCATCTGACCCTCTCCTTACAGTGAACTCGTGGCCGGCCACTGCTCTGGACTTCCTGGGGTGTGGAGAGGCGCCAGGGTGCAGGGACGCCCAGGAAGCCAGACCCTTCGCAAACCCGGATCAGGAGTTGCTCAACGTGCTCATGTGGCTCAACAGCGATGACTGGTAAGAAAGCCCCTGTTCACTGCCTGCATAGGAGGCCCAGGAGCGCCTATGGGGAGTCCCTCTTTCTGAGAAAGGGACTGAGACGTGGTGCAGAGTTGCTCAGCCTGTCGTTTCTCCTGAAGGGCTTGTGGCAGGAAACAAGGAAAAAGAAAAAAAAGTCTTTTAGGAATCCTGCACATTTAGAATTCACTTTCTTCCTCCTCACTCCTTAGTATGGGCCAAAGATGTTTTGTTGATAGTCACAGTGTGTCCTGCAGTTAAGACACCGACAGGAGGAGACTCTACAGATTTCAGATGACATTGGTTGTCTTTTTGATTTCTGGGTCAGCAAACACTCACTAGGGCTCCGTTCACGCTGGGATAACCATGAAGAATCTTCCATGATGCATCTCCTTAAGCAATTGCTTTGTTTTGCACCTCTCCCCTTTCTCTCTCCTGTTTCTGTCTGGTGTCCTGTGAGGTGCAGAGAGCTGCTGCAGGTGTGGGGGTCCAGGTAACACTCAGGGACCCCAGTGGGGATGGGTCCCCAGTCCTGCCCCGCAGCCCTGGTGAACCAGTAACTGCATTATACGCCTTCATGTAGCTCAGGTGTTTCACAAATCAAGTGCTGAAAGAGGCAGGGTTTTACTACTTTTTTTTCAGTCCCACTCCTGAACTGCCCTCCAGGGATGGCAAAGAGGGAAAATGCCCCAGTCACAGCCAGACGGGACCATATCTCAGTGACAGGGTATGGGGAGGGTGCAAGAAACAGAAAGATAGCACAGTCTCCCAGTTTCTACAGAGCAGTGACATAGGGACTTCATGTGCCAGGGGTTTCAGAAAGGCTGTCTTGCTTAATAGCCACAAATTAACCCATCCACTCTGAAACCATCTGTTTGCCTTTTGGGTTTATGTATGCTTTTGACTGCCACAATTAAGTTGTGTTTGAGAAGCAGCTCCCTTTGTTTGAGCCAACACCCTTGTTATTTCAGAGGGTGCTGCCTAGTTCTTGGGTGGTGAGAAAAATCAGTCTTGCTGGTACTTGCCTTTCAGGCAGCAGAAGGCAAATGGACTCCTCAATGTCAGACGCCTGGCTATCTGCCAGTCTGAAGTCCTTCTTTGTAGACTTCATGATGTTTCCTTGGCAGTTACCAAAGAGGTAAAAACATTGTGTTTAATTGAGTAGATAAGTGCTCGCTCATTGACATGTATGCTCAGCGTCTGCCTTCATGACTGTTTTTAGTCCTCATTTTTCTAATAGCTGTGTCACCTATTTATATGATCGGTCTGTACACATAGCTATATTTACTGGTGGGTGGGGCATGTGTCTCTCTCCTCTTTGAGCTAGATGTCATCATAATGCAATATACAAATGCAGAAATTGAGACACTAATCAGGTGATTTGCCACAGCCCAAATGACTGCCCAAGCTGTAATTAAACACTGCAGCTTTTGCCTCCCAGCTTCCTCCCACCTCCTCCTCCTCAACATCTTGGGGGATTGACTGCAGGTAGTTATTTTCCAGTGGTTCCTGATAATGTTTTCTGCTGCTTCCTTTCTGTGTGCTTTTTGGTAATTTGCCGTTTCCATTGATTGATCTGTTGCCTCAGTGTACCGGTGGAATTTTGCACTGCAGCCTCTTGGTGCTTGGAGCAGCCTGGCTGTGGGGTTTGCAGGGCAGTTGCGCACAGCTTTACTATCTCATCACTGAGTTAAGAGAGAGGTCTCAACCCAAGCTCCTTAATAACATCTGTGGCTATATTTCCAACTTGGCACTTGTTTGTGGCCTGGACAAGCTGTCCATCACTCTTATTGCACAACTGCCAAACAATAATTTTCCCTTGCTTGGAGAAGACAGTAAGACTTAGCTCACTTCCATGAAAATCAGTCCTTTTCGCCAATATTGAATGATGTTGGAGGCTTGAACGCCCCTTCTACTGCTGGACTCTGCAAACCTTTCTGTTTAGCTATGCAGGACCCAGATTCTCCCACTCTGAGATCAGGGTTAGGAAAAGCCCTTTCAGCTCAGCTAGTTTTCTTTTTTTTTTTTTCTTTCCTCCTCTCTGTTCTACACGCTCATGTGCAGAGACATCTTTCATTTCACTCCAGTCCCAGATTTTGCTTTCACAAGCACTTCTAGCACTTACATTGTTCCGTTTCATGAACAGGCACAACTAATTCTGGCAGAAAGAAGCTTTGGTCTGTCCTTCAAAGTACCTTTCAAGTGAAGCACATGATTCTCCCATGCTGCTTCCTTACCCTTGTGGGAGAGCCTTTTGGAAGCAGGGATCACTCCAGAGCAGCACTGAATGCTGTAGAACTGCACTGATCGCAGCTGTCATTGCAGGTGATCTCCAGGATCCTTGAGTCCAACAGCTAGAGTTCTCCTGAGTAGACGGAGCAGCAGATGGGCTCAAGTCCCTGCTGTGAATTAGTCTGTAGACTTGAACCCGTATTTTCTGTTTCCTCGTTGCGTGTTCAAACTGCCAGTGTTGCGTTTTTGGGCAGGAGGAAAGTGCTGCTTTACATCTATCTTGTCTTTATGAATTGTGCCTTTATAGTTTAAAAACAGCCTTTGCTTGAAGTGGTTTGTTTGTTTGTTTTCAGTAAAAGGGCCTAAAATCCAAGCAGTGCACATTCTGAGCTAAATAGCATACTTTGTTCTAGGTGAAACCATGTTTTTTAGGCCTGCAGTCTCTCTAAAATTGTGTTGCACAAGGCCAGAGAAGAAGTTGGCGTCAGAGTAAGTGTGTTTCTGTGCTTGTGGTCTTCCGTGACTGTGCTCTTAAGTTTCACCTGGATGCAGTGAGAAGTCACATTGTGTCCTGGGACTTTTGTCTAGGGGAAGTGATTTTCTTTACTAGGTGGTTCTTATGTTTCCCCTCATGACTTCCCCAGGTGAACAACCTCCGCTCGAAGGTGTCCCACTGTGCCATTGTCACTGTTGGAGAGCTCTTCAAGACCATGAAGAAGCACATGGACCAGGAGGTTGATGAGATTGCTTGGGTCTTGCTGCAGAAGACGGGGGACTCGAGCGACTTCATCCAGAAAGCAGCCAGTCGAGCCCTGGGGATCATGGTGGGCAGCGTGACTCCTGCACGGGCAATGACTGTTCTCATGGCTAGTGGAGTCCAGTATGTCATTCTTCTCTTAGTGCTGTCCTTCACCTTCAGTTGTGTGGGAGGCAGAAGGGGAATGATGGGAGGGAAGGGTCCTTTCTCCTGCATCTTCTATGAACTCAGTGATTAACTTCTCTGATCAACCTCGCTCTCTTCCTCTTGGCATCTACTTCTGCCCTACTGCAGCGTGTTTCTTCTCACAGACTGTCAACTCTGCCTAGACTTGGTGAATGATGGGGAAGTGAAAGTTCCTGAAAGGGTGGTGATACAGCCTTGTGGCTTGTGGAAAGAGGGACAATGGGAATTCCAGCCGTGAGCACTCTGAGATTTCACAATGCTAACCACAGAGGCACTGGGAAAAACCATGCATCCTCATTATGCCATTAACTCAAGAAGTAAGGAGGCTAATTCCTGAGATGTGGAGCACATGGGGAGAACCCGCTGGGTGTGGCACAGCCTGCTCAGCAGGTGCAGCTCCTGCCAAGAGAAGTCTGACCTTCGTGTCCTTATAGCTCCGCTTTCTCTTCAAATGTTAGCCTTTAGATGGTGAGCCACTACAAGTACCTTCACAGGCCAACTCCCATGGGATAGCTGAAGCAAACGCTGCCTGACAAGTCAGCATTAATTGTCTTTCATTTCCCTCTGAGTTAGTTTTGGGAAAGAAACTGAGTATCAGATAGTCCAGGGAGATTGAGTTCCTCCCTCTTCCTTGCAGGTGCCCCTCTGTACAATGCCAGCTTTGTGTTTATCTGAGGACAGGATCTTCTACAGATGGCTAAAATTGCAGCGCAAACAGGCCTCCTTCCCCCAGCAATGACAGGGACCACGCTGTAACCGAGGCCTGTGCTTCTGGCCCTCCTTTTTCCTCTGGCCCAGGGTTTGTTCTCTTGTTTCCAGGCACCGCAACACCTTGGTGCGGAAGTGTGCAGCTGAACACCTGCTGACCGCAATGGAGCGAATCGGAGCTGAGAAGCTCCTGTCGGGTACGCATAACCGCACCGAGCTCCTGGTGCACACAGTGGTGAGGCTTGCTCAGGACTGTCATCAGGACACAAGGTGATGATCTTAATTTCACCTCCTAAAATGTGAAAACTGTTTGATGTCTGGGTATAAACGATAAAACCCCAAAGAATGGAAGGTAAAGTAAACATGAAGAAAGTTACTTCACAGCATGGACAATGTTGTCTGGGGAAATGACTATAGTGGGTAACATGAGATTGTCCAGCAAGAAGGACCATTGCCGAATTCTTGTGACTTGAATGATTCTTTATTCAGATCAACTGAGTTCAGAGTAGTCAGTCAAAGAATTTTGTGTTGGTCTTATGTGCGCAATGCAAGGCTGAAGTCTTGGCCACTGTTCATCACTGAATGATCCCAGGCATTTATTTGTGGTAAGGTTAAAACTGTCCTAGTAAAAGTCTACCTGTCTTCAACCAGTTCAGTCTTTCTAAATTCCTTCTGCAGATGTAGTCTAAGCTAGTAACAAATTTTTCTTCCCAATCACTGTATAATGTTGTTGTCTGTGGCTGAATGACCTACAAATTTCCTCTTGAAAATAGGTGTAATTTCATAGTACCAAAACCAAACCAAACCACAAAGCCAAAAAACCCCCTTACTTTCATTAACAGATGTCAGGAACATATGAGCAACTGGTTGCCCATGTTGTCCTGTCCCACTCGGTGGGTGAGGGCAAGGTTCCTTTCGGATATCTGCATGGTAACCTGGAACAATAATGTTATTAAAAAGATGGAAAATGTAGAATGTAAATTGTAGCAGAATGACAAAAGATAAATGACTTGTCAAAGAAAACTTATGACAATACTATCACCCACTGACAACACTAAAACCTACAACAATGTGACATCGAATAATGATGTAATGAAGTTAGTTAGAGACAGAGGTGAGAGAGAAGGAAACTCAAAAAGAGAAGGGAAACCAGAAAGAGAAGCAGGACAGAAAAGGTGAAAAGATTCCAGAATTATGTTACCACTGTTGGATTCAGCTTGGTCTCTGCTTGAAGTTGTGATCCTCAAGTGGCGAGCACGCACCTTCCCATTGTTAACTCATCTTTTCTAGACAAAAGTTCTCAGGTCTCTGCCTAACTTTCTTCAATTAACATAAAAAGCGATGGAGGTGTCTCCTTAATTTGCATGGGAAGAACCATCTTTTTGCGCATGCATCAAGGAGGACCCTTTCAGCCAATTGGGTTGGTGGTCATACAGACCCTGTATTAGATTAACTTTGGCTGAACTTTCCTTGTTGGTGGCTCAGCGGTGAGGGGGGTGACCTTGTCAGCAAAGGAGTTAAGGCTAAGTCTTTCAATACATTGCACACCTCCTCTTATCAGCAAGGAGTTTACAACCTAGATGTCTGAGACAAACTATTTGTCTGCAAAGCTGTTGTCAGACAATTGCCCTTCATCCCCCATTTGACAGGCAGTTGCAGTCCTCTGCGACAAACCCCTTTCTCTTTTTGTCCCTTACACATGTGCATACACGTAGTGTGGAATAATAACTAGTAAGCATGAGGTTATTTATTCTCACTTCTCTGCCAGTTAAAGGTAAATTATTGTGCAGTGGCAGCAAGACACTGCAAATAAGCTATGACAGCAAAGCAGGAGATGTGCTTTGCTCGTCCCAAGGTATCCTGCAATCCCACAGAAGCACATCCACAATTTTGGAGTGAAATTGTATTTTTCTGTTGCCCTGTGTTCCTCTGTTGCCTCTTGTGTTCAACTGGCAGCACTGTGCAGTGGCAACAAGTAGAGGTAAACATCCCTTTTTGCTGAATAGGTAATACCTTCTCATGAAGGTATTCCAAATGACAAGTGTAAAATATCAGCTTATTTTAGTAACACTTTTCCTTTGTTTACTGACAAGGGAGAAAAGACAGTAAGAGTCTGAAGAAAAAAACAGTCATTCATTTCTCTCTTTCCTGTGTTAGGTGTTATGGACAGAGGATGCCGAGTATATTGATGGGTCATCAAAAATTTTTGAAGTATTTGAAACGGTCTGCCCCCTCACGTGACTTAGAAGATGTTATGGCAGCAATTAAGAAGAAGGTAAGCGCTTGGCAGGAGAAGTGTCTCCTTTATGCAAGTACCGTGATTGCTAATATAAGATTAAACATACCTGATCTTTCTTTATCTCATTCTTCTTCTGCTGAATGATTTTGTTCCTGGGAATGAACTGTTGATCCTTAGCTTGTTTATCTGCAATCAGTGAAGGAACTAGTATGTCTAGAAACAAAGCAGCCCCCCAGTAAAGCAAGGAAGTGAGAATAGTGCTTCTGAAGATGATAGAGTCTTTGCAACAGACAAAGGAAGTAGTACTGCAAAGAAAATTTAGAATATGTAAAAGATGCACAAGGTAATCATAATTAGTAAATATATTGTCTGTATTCTGGGAATACTGCCCTGCTGTCATGGCTTGTGGAGCTGGAAGAAGCTTCGTGAATTCAGCATCCAGTGGAAAATCATCCCTATTTTTTTTTAATTCCTCTCCATTTACATTCTAGAAAGGAACGTGCCTTTTTGCAGGAATAGGGAGAGTGAGTGTGAACCAAATCAACTCCAGCACAATGGGCCGACCTCCAGAGAGTCCAAAAGTTTCCTGCTATTCCTTTTAAGATGCCTTATTCCCTACTAGTTTGCATTATTCCCATTTGTGCTGAAGACTAATGAATTCAGGATTTTATACTGATGCTTATTATGGTGGCACCTATCACCTGCCTTGGATTATTGAAAACGAATACTAGGCATCACTGAATCTCTCGCCTGTCTCCCTCTCTTAATTTGTGAAATGTTTTCCTGAGCCTTTCTTGGTAGCAGTGATTCTGGTTATAGCTTGTGTTTTAACCAAGTGATTTCCTATTTCGTCTTTTATAGATTCATGATTTTTTTAATATATATCTGTAGGTGATAGAGGACTGTAAAGGTGAACCTCCATCTGCCAAGGACCACAGGAGTTCTAGCAGCAGCAACTTGATGATGACCCAGGACACCTCACCTTCCGATGGAAGATACTGAGCACTTCTGTGCACTTCTGTAATTTCTGACAAAGCACGTGACAAGCTTTACATGTCTCTTCCTCAGGAAAATCTTTCTGGTGGAGACGAGCTTGGCCAGAGATTGTTTCCTTGCCCCACAAATGTTCTGTGATAATGTGGTGGGTTAGCCCTTGGCTCGGGGCCAAGCCACACACACCCTCTCACACAATTCCTACCCCCACCCAATGATAGGGGAGAGAATAAAAGGGTTAAATGGTAAAGAGGACTCGACTCGTGGGTTGAGATAAGGACAATTTAATAACTAAACTACAAAACCAAACTACAAGAATATTAAAAACAATACTATCTCTGTGGTACCAGCAGTCATGAAGAGCCTCAGCTGAAAGGAGCTGGGGATTTATGCTGCAGCTGTGAAGGTGCTGGAAGCATCCATTGCTCACCTAGGTAAGGCTGACCTCTGGCATCGGCTCTCCTCAGCAGTGGCTCCTCTATCTCAGAGCCAAGTGAACACAGAGTCTGTTGATAGCTGTTGTCTGTGGAAATATCCGGCTGCTGCCAGATGTTTATGAAGTCCTGCCTGCATTCTTTCTATCCCAATCTGTTGTTATCATGTTCGAATGTGCAGCTGAATGGATGCTGCTTATCACTGGGATCATATGTCTGATTATTAATTCAGTAGAGAGGACATTATAGGAACTGTTTTAAGTTTCCTCCAGAAGAGCCTGAGGGAAGTGACCAGCATCTGTCATGACTGTTTTTCCCCCTTCCTCCTGGGACACTGCACGTGTTTTGTTTTTATTGAATTGGATTTCTAAGATGTGCATTCTTTAAGTTTACATCCACTAAAAGAAGATGAAAGAACTGTGCTTTGTCCTTGAAACACATGGTGGGAAGGGTGGTGGAGGCTCTTTGCTCTTGCTGGGCTTCATTCCATGGTGTGGCAGTGCAGCTCTCCAAAGCAGATTCATCTGGCACTTGCTGACCCTGATATGACAAGCTTTGAACTCCATTACTCATTTTGCAGTTTTAGCCAGTAGTTTAGTCATGTAAAGGCCAAATGAAAATATCCTTTTGAATTCAAAGATTGAGACCTTGAATTTAATAAGATACTGTGTCATGAAAGATCACATCAGAGATCAGATGAATGATGAAGTGCTTGTTCCATAGTCAGCCTGCAGGTGTACTTGTGTGGGGGGTTAGAAGTGCCTTCGCTCCCTTCTTCCAGAAGGGTGAGTAGCCCATTATCGTCCCCTTTTCTGGATGCTTGAGCATGGAGACGCGAGGATGCCTGTTGATGAAGAATATGTGCCTGCATTAGGAAGGGGGTAAAGTTCCCGTCTGCCCTATGTCCTGAACCATACGGTGTGCTGCAGGTTGTGCAGCATGTCTTCTCCTGCCTACGAGGGTCATGCTGAAGCTCTCAGGAATCCTCAGGTTCCTTTCAACAGCGAGCACCTGACCTGCAGAGTGCACCTCCAGCCCATCCCTTATCACTGTCCAAAAGCTATGTGTTTGCATGCTACGGCCTGGCAAAAACTGTGGCATGTTCCTTCATGGGTAATACTACAGAAGTCTACGTTGGTGTCTTTACAGTTCATCAAAACAGCTTTTAACAGCAGCTTTTAAAACCAGACCTAAGTCTGCAGACCCAAGTGTTGTTCTCTGTGACATTTGTGTTGCTCTTATGCACTTTATTTTAGGCAGCTGGGTGCCCTAGAGGATTCAGGTGCAAGGATCTAGTGCAGAGGTGTTGACGTTGCCTGGTTTTCTTTTTGCACACATTTCCATCAGGGAGGGAGACTAAGGCTGCTCTGTGTAGCTCGCTGGAGGTGTTTATATCTGCCCACTGAAACCTCAGTGAAGTGTTTACAGTTTGGTGAGATGAATCCAGGCCTGAATTTCCCTCTGGATCTTCTGGTGCAGATTCAGAAGCATACTGGCAATACTTGTGTTACCACTGTCCTTGCTGCAGTTGTGATGAGAAGTTTCTAGTCCCTGGGGCTCTTCATCTGCTGTTTGCTCCAGTTCTGACTTCTGTTGAAATGTGAGATGAGAGCTGGGGTGTGCGTACTTACAGATGCAAGGAGTTTGGTTTTGGAAGGATGAATGCCATCAATAAAAGTGTTCACCAGGAGTTTTTTTTTACTACACTGATCAAATCCTACTTCAGGAAAGCAGGTTCCACATAGTGTTTGGGTTCTGTGGTTGATGCCAGGTTTGCAGATCACTCGTGTCACTTACGCTGCCTGTCAACCTGAATTTCTGCCCGTTGTAACTGGTGAGCTGGGTCACCAAAAGCTATGGTGGTGCAGTCCTCATGCACCAGTTCCCAGGCAGTCTTGAATGTGTACCAACATTTCCCCAAAGTCCCAGGAGCCTTTGGCTCTGTGCTGCTTGGCAGCACAATAAATCCTGGAGTACAACTTTCCTAGAATTCAGGGACAAAGGGATTTTTGGAGGTTGGTTGAGCCCAATTTGACTTCCCAAAGGAATTGCTTTGCTGTTGGCGTGAAGGGATGCTGGCCCATCAGAGCTTCTGCAGAACAGCTTCCTGGAAAACTCTATATTATGGGCATTAGCAGGTCCTGTTTATTTTCCACCTTTTTCCTTTGTAATCTTTTTTTTTTTTTTTTTTTTTTTTTTTTAAGGGAATTTATTATTTGCCAAGTTCATTTCTTTAGAACAAACAGGTATAAATCCAGCTGTAAATGATGGCTTGTTCCAAGTGTTGTCCTGCATGGGGCAAGATTGCTATAGCCAATAACTACATAGCCAAGGTCTGCTGTAAATTCCCTTGCCACACAGCTTTATGTCAGCTGTGAAAATGCAGCACTGGATGAATATGCCTGAAAAATTTAGTGTTGAAGAGGCAGGTCTTAAAGGGGAATTAACAACTTTCTCCACATCAACTGCTTTGCGAACTCAGTGCATTTGCTGACCTGCTGCCTTTCTGTGTCCCAAGTATAGGGTTGTTCTGGGTCATGAAGTGGGGAGAAGAGTGTGAGACCTATACTGCTCTTGGCCCTTACCCATTTTGTTGTGGTGCCTGGGAGAAGGCTGAGGAAAAGTTGCAGAATCCTGCAAACAGAGGATGCAGCAAACAGATCCTACAGGGATTTGTATGGCACTTTCTCTCATTCCTCTCTCACTGATCCTGAGAGATCACTGTAAATTTTCCATGCTGGCAGATGTCAGAACAAGGCGCATCTGTCTCTCATCACACTGACTTTAACCAGAGACAGGTTCAAGCAAACAAGGTGGGATATATTTTTTTCGGTTCTGCTCATTTTTATGGACATTTGCAAAAATTCAAACAGGAGACTAAATCACAAATGTTTCAAAATTCAAGACCCAGTGGGGGAAGGAAGGCTCACTTGATGTGAAAACAAAAAATAAAAACCAAAAATACCCACCCCAGAGACCAAAATTCTACCTACAAACAAATTTGCTCACAAATAATGCCCGAATAACTTACTCAGTTTAACCCTGACATTGGCTTGGACGTCCCCACCTGGAGGTCACACACATTCATGAGCTATGACCTGGGACCCTAATCTCACTTGAGGCAGCCACCTTGTAGATGGGGGCAAATCAGCAAATCAAGCCTACTGCAATGGGACCAAGACACAGATCTTGCTCTCCTCTGACATCTGTCCTATGCTGTCCTCTGTCATGAAAGAAATGCTCTTCAGATGGCCACTGCCTGATGCCAGGGTGTGGAGCCAGGCCAGCAGCCTAAGTGCTTCCCAGAGGAACCAGCCCTCTGCAAGAGGGGAAGGGAAATTTCCCCTGTTGGTGTTAACATAGCAAAGAGGGGAATGCAGTGACAATGAGAGCACAGAGAAGCAGATTCTTCTTTTGCTCACGTTGTAAATGCTGGGCTGCCTGTCCTGTGGCCAACAGGTTTAGCTAGTATGGAGTGCAGAACATTAAATCTGAGCTAATAAGAACTGAACAGTCTGCTGCCTTGTTTTCTCTAAAGCCATTGAAAGCTCCTCTGTCTTTAGGTCTCTCAAGGCAGCTAAAGTAATGGTTGGATAAATTTCTTATTGACTCAAGCTTTACTGTTTCAAAATGCACAGGGCATTTGAAACCCTTCAACTGAAAGGTGAATAGCGCCTATCTAGTTAGCTTCCGAAAAACCAAGAAAACAAATAATTCCCCCTCACCCACCCAAAACCCAAGTGTTCCCCTGAAAATCTGTGTAGATACCAATATTAATGATTAATTAACATTTTGTGCTCCTTCAAGATCTCCAGATCTCAGGGTGTTTTTTTCAAAGCAGCAGCTGTAAGGTAACTCTCTGTGGAGGAACAGCAAGTGTGAAACAGCATCTGCCAATCCTGCAACAGTGTGAGGCAAAATGTGAAGGGTCTGTTTAAAAACACGAATGAGAAGACTGTAATTACCAAAGCAGAAGCTTAATTAGGGTAGCAGGATCAATTCTTTACTGCATGCTTGCAAGAAGATCATTAGGGACTTCCTTTTTATATCTCATGCAAAAAGGAGCACCTAATAGCACAGTACTACTTAAAACCAGTTTGGGATTTGGCTCTGTAGTGGTTCACAAAGAATTAGGTTGCCTGCTTTATCGGTGCCACTCCTGGTGCCCCTGTGAGGTCTCATAGCACATCCCACGTGTATTCTGCCTTCAATAAAGGGCTCTTTTGGCTTATCAAAGCAGTAAGACTGGAGATTCCAGACCAAGCCAGGCCACAGTTTGTAAAGAAAACAAGACCGCAAATCATCCACGGGCAGCATAGGAAAAACTAAACTATATAAGACAGTCAAGTATTGGTAAATCGGTTAGTTTTCCCATTTCTCTACCAAGATCTGATTGCAGAGATGCGATAAGAGCCCCTGAGAGTGGATGATGTTGGCAATGAGCAGTAATTCTCTCTTGTAAGAGTGACTTGGAGTCTTGTCTATAGATAGCAAGGTAATGTAAAGATTTAACAGCAGCTTATCCTTGAAGTGTGAATGGATGTGTGGACTTTTGAGCTTTCTCACCCTTTTCCTTAGAGGAGGGAGGAGCTCATTTCTGCAAAGTTCTGGGACACAAAACCTTTTCACTGCGTACATGTGATTTAAATGTTGAAGGCCCTGATGTGAAGCGTTTAACACAGCTCCTTGTACAGCAGTCAACTTTGGATTTGCAAACGGGAAAATGAGAGCTTTTCTTTTTGAATTTAAAATCCTCCCAAGTAAGCTAGAAGGAAATAAGATGATGAAGGAAAGAAATGACTTAGAAACTGCCAGACATTTACTTTATTTTGCAAAATGCAGTTACTCCTGCCCTTTCCCCTTCCCGCCTTTTCTTATTTTCTTTTTCCTTATAACCTCAGAAGAGTGAGCAGAAATAAATGTTTCTCTTTCAGGTAACACGTTGCTGCTGCAAGTGTTTGCCCAACAGGTGCCTTTCCTCAGTGGCCAAGCTCTGCTGGATGTCATAAAACATCTCTCAGGTATCGCCTGCTTCAGCTAATCTCCACTTCTAAATCAAGAAGTCTTCAGAGGGACTGTTTAGAGGGAATGCCTCTGAATAGACAGGGCACCCTGCCCCAGGGAAGAGAGGGGCTAAAAATATCCTGGCTGGCTCCTCTCTTTGAAGGGTGGTACAGTAAAGGTCATGGAGGTCTGTAAGAGGTCCCTTTGCTAAAGCGAAGGACCATCCTTTAGAAAAAATTGTGGCAACTGGTATTTCTGAGGATCAGTTTGTTTTGTCATTATGCGAGTCTTATTTTCCTGTTGGAAACTTTGGAGGGTGAGTCCTGCAGAGCCTGGAGGTCACAGTGTAGGTGAAAACTCAACACACGTGTTACAGGCAGGGATTTTGTGCAAGGCAGGATTTGGGGGCAGAAGTGGGCAGTTCAGCCCAACCCACTGAGGCTCCTGGCCTGTATTGCAGATATGACCTTGGACTCTGAGCGTTTCAGGATGTACAAACAGTCTATTTCTATATCGGCGGGGTCCGACACACTACAAATGCAGCTGATAATTGATTTATAATAGGAGCTTGCTATGTCATCAAGAGCCAAGGAATGGAAAAAATTAGAATCTCAATATATACCAGAGAAGACTCTTTATAGCCTTGCTTTAATTAGGGCTAAATCCACTGCTAGTTATGCTGGCATCTTTTAATCCAAGGTTTAATACACTTTGCTTCTTCATTATGAATCTCAAAAGGGCATGTTTAGCCATAGTGAATGGAAAAGGGCCTTTAAAGATAATTTGCATAAAGTAAATCTCCATAAATATAGAATTTAGTTTTACAGTTTTTCTAATCTCATTTTCAAATACAGCATTTGAACATAAATTGTGACTACTTTAGAGAGAGCAGATGTTCTCTCTGGGATTTAGTGGAAACAGACAGCTCTTTCTCTTCTGAAGCTCCATAGTGACTGCTGTGTTGAACAGCATTTAAACTCAGATTGACTCCCATTTTAAAATAGGTACCATGACCCTTTTCCTGCTTAGCAGAATTGTTTTCAGGTACTTCCAGGAGCTGTTTAAATGTTGATGACTGATGCTAGATTAACAGCGTAGAGGAAACTAAGGTCCCTCCACTACAGAATAATAAATGGTTACTGCATAACATTTCCACTGAATAGAAAAGAAGAACTCTGTCTCCAGACCATTTCAGATTTTGATCTCTCAGCAATATCTGCCGTGCAAGGAGCCTATTGGTGGTAATTTTTTGTTTGTGTTTAATGTAGTTCAGTTCAGAAAAGGAGCTGAGAGCAGACTTTTGAGAGAATGAGAGGGAATGCTTGTTTTTTGGTTAAATTTCAGCCCCCTGTGTAAGATTTTTCTCTCTCTATTCCCCTGTTTCAGGGAACATTGTGAGGGTAAATTCCATTTAAAATTGTGAGATGCTCAAATGCCATGGCAATGGCAATCGGGGTAATTACCTGAGACATCCTGAAGTCTGAAACAGCTGTTCATAAGAAGCCACCAAATATGAGGGGAAAAAAAGCTCCAATTAGAGCATTCTGCCAAAGACATCAGTTAGTCTCTGATGCTTCTAACGGAACTGTCAAGCAGCACACATCTTTTGTGGGCTGGAGTTTTGAAGTGTGGTATAGTGCTGCTGTTTGCTGTGTGCCACTGAGCAAAGGGAACTGCCAGATTAGACTTTTGGCATTTCTCATCAAAGGTCACAAAAAAGTAATCATCCTTTTTATTAGAAATCTTTCCATTACCTCTCGAAGCTGCATTTCAAAATCTTCAGCAGCTGGTTTAGACAACTTCTTAAAGGGAATAAACAGTGATTTGACATTTTTGTCATTTGTAATGCAGAAGTTGATAGTGAAATGATTTACAAAATGTGTATGATTGACTTTGCTAAGTTTATCAGATATACAAAGCCTCTCATTTGGAGAAATGAAGGTCCTCAGAGGGTGGTTGTTCCGTCCAGTGTATGGTCAGCCACTGTTGCCTGTTTCTGCATCCTTGGGCTCTTTGTGCTTGCTGATATTAGCCAGAAAAGACTTCCAAGAACCAAAAAGAAAGGTAGATACTTGTTTGCATCAAGGTTGTTAAGAAACTTGTCGCTCTTGCCTGGCAGGGCTTGTGGCATCTGTTTATCCTCAGAAACCCAAAGCCGCCAAGCACTACGCCCTGCCTGCTCTCTGGTTCCTCCTGGGGAACAGGGTCCTGCCTGTCCGAAGTGGCAGCATCAAGGCTGTGGTCGCCAAGCTTGCAAAGAGCCTCTACGAAGTGATGGGCTCCAGCCTGCAGGAGCATGCTGCCAGACAGCCTCAGCCTGTGGCAAAAAACCTCTGCAAGATTTTGAGCCTCCTCGAAAGGAGGTAAGAGCCTGAGCGTCCCAGCCGGAGAGCTGACTGAGGGAGGGAGATGACCCTGGAAGAGGAACCAGCTGGAGCATGATGACCTGGAGCAGAAAGGGTGATCTGGAACAAAAGGGATCCAGAGCAAAAAAGGGACGAGCTTCTGGAGAAAAGAATAGGAAAATAACAGCATAAGGCACACTGGGCCATGGAAGGTTGAAAGAGCCTTGACAGATTCTTGACACGTACAAGGACCTTGTATGAAGGTTTTGCCAGATTCTCTCATTGCATTTGGTCACCTCTTAAGTAATCTCTTTTGCTTTTTAGTACAGTACTAAAAGTGGCAGAAGTACTTAGTAGATCTTCTAAAATATTTTTTTGCTGCTGTTTTTTTGTTTTCAAGTTCCAAATTTTGGTAGCAGGGAGCACTCAGGAACACATCTCTGTGAAGTCTTGGCCTGTGATCCAGGCCAGGCTCTGGAACACGGGTGTCTCTGGGGATCCTGCAGAGCCTGGGGGAAGGCATAGTCCTTGGAGATCTGCTAGAGCATTTTGGAGTTCAGCAGTTCAAGAAATTTTTCTGACAGCTTAATAGAAACAGGGCCTGGTAGCATGCAGTTGTTTTGCAGGCGTTGACAGGGCCCCACAGATTATACCTGTGCACCCAAATGCTAAGGGTGAAACCCTGGAGAATTACAGGGTGCCTGAGTTTAAATAGCTCATCTTGAACTATGTCACTTCATTAAGCACCTGCAGTTTGCTACTGCCCAAGATCTAATTTAACAGGCATTTAAAAATACTTTTTTTTTTTTTTATCACTTGTCATCTCTAGAGGGCCTCCTAGTTTTGCTTCTTCTGCCTCAAAACTTGTTCTTGCCATTTCCTTCCTCTGCAGCTCTCTCCCTTTGAAGCCCTGGAAATGCTTTTATTCAGCCCGTGGGAATGTGGGGGGAGGTTTCTGCACTTGGGATAAAAAAAAGCTTTTGTGCACATCATATGAGGTGTCCCAGAGCCTGTTTTTATGTGTTTAGTTGTAGCACTTGCAAAGTAGGCTTGCAAAGTAACCCATGGAACTGGTTTCTTAATTCTCTATTGGCCCCGGGTGGTACTTTGATGCATACTGTTCCCCACAGCCCATGAGAATAAAGTGTTGCCTTCTGGTACCTCTTTTCTGCCTAGGTATTTTATTTTTTTAACTTTCCAGCACTCCTACCACAGCATGATCAAATTTAGCTGACAAAGTGACCGTCTGCAGTGACAAGCAGAGGGATTAATGGGTAGGGGTTAATTGAGCTCAGGTGAGCTCTCCTGCCACATGTTTGCACAGGTGCACATCTCAGAAGTTATTAAGAAGTTACTAAGGTTTTTGGATGATACAAACAAAAGGCAGAACAGTGTTGGACCTTCTTCCAGCACTGGTAAGAGTTTAAATATTCAATTTTTCTGATTTATTCTTGTTATCTTTTTATTACAGAAGTCTCACCAGAGAGGAGACTGTAAGCTGCCCTTGCAGGGTCAGTCTAATTCATTTGATTATTGCATTTAATATGCAGTGCAGCTGCTAACCTACTGTCGTGGTTTATAAAACCATGGGGACAGTTTTTCTAAACACCTGGTGGGCTGAGGCAGGGAACAGGGAGGGTTTCACTCACCGCTTAGGGTCACAGGCAAGAAACCAACACGACTTGTGAAGAACAATAAAACAACTGAATTTATTAACTATTTACAACAAGAAGCAGGATATTGAAAGAGAGAAACCACATCTTACACAAAAGCACTTCTCCCCCACCCTTCCCTTCTTCCCAAAGGCTTTGTTCTGTACCTTTCCCCCCCCAGCGGCACATGTTCTGTGCCCCTTCTTAAATATGTTATTCGCAGAGGCCAGATTGGCTGGTCTGGGGTGGGAGCATACAAAGGAAGGCTACCTGATAGTGCCCTTCCCCCACTCCCCCTGTTACCAAACGCTTAGGGGGGAAGGGTGACTCGGAGCCACCACTTTAACCACTCCCTTGCCGCCAGACAAAACCCATAACACCTACAGAAGTCAGTATAGTGAAAGAAATGTATGGCAATCGTATACATTGACTTACTCTTACCCTACATCCTGCCAGAGCCACAAGCTATCACAGATGGTTCCTCCTGCTTGATGAAGGTAAGAGCTGTTGTCATCAAGGGAAGGTAGGGGAGAAAAGGTAACATGGCTTCTATCATAAGGGAGTGAAGAAAGCTTTTGTTCCCCTACAGAGTGGGAAGAGAGTGGTCCTGTGCCATCTCCCTGGGCAAGGGGACGTTAGAGCTCTGAAACTGCATGAACAGAGAGACTGGTGCTGGGTGCTCTGAGTCTGGTCTGCAAGATTCGTCATTTCCTCAACCGGGCATTTGTTTCTCATCAAGAGTCAAAGCACATGGTGCAGAGGCTGAAGGCTCCTGTTGTAAATTCTGTGGATGCTGCCTGGTAGTGCTGCTGGGAGAGGTGGAGCAGAAGATGAAAGACTGCACCTGAAGGGAGCTGCTTTTGCAGAGATGCAGCTGGGTCATGGAGTGTAATAAGGTGATTCTGGTAGAATTTGCTCTTACTGAGGTTAAAGGTGGGCTTGGGAACTAGCTGCTGAAGTCCCTCTCTCAAGCGGACAGAGGGAGGCTGCACTGAGGTGGCTATTTTCATCCTTCCTAAATAGTGATGACGGAAATAAAAGCGGTTGCAGTGCTACCAAATCTCTAACAGCTGACGCTGAATCCTGATACTGTGATAGTGCCTTTGATACAGGCAGAGGTGAGAAAACCCGGCTAGTTAAAATTAGAGCTGACCTGAACCTTTAAGGCTCCACTCTGCTTTGGTATCTTTAGCTGAAAAAATCCAGTAACTTTATTTGGCCAACAAACTGCCCCTGTGTATCACTCAAAGCCCCCTCAATAGTTTTTGAATGCAGCTGGCAGTGGTAAAGGAGCTTGTAAGGCCTCTCTCTGTGCTCATAGCTGTGCCCCGGGCTGTGCTGCTTTCACAGCTGTTTGGCATGTTTCACCTCTGCTGTGTTTGAGAGCAGAAAGTAAAACCTGTGTCCCCTTTGGAGACTGAGGTCAAGGCTGCAGGGTGCACAGGTCTGTCGCTGCCTGCTGCTGGGTCCTGGAAAGTCTGAACGTGCTCAGTAGCCCGCGCTGCAGTTATGCCCCAGCTCTTGGGCACAGCCTGAAATTTCATGTCCCTTGTGACTCGACTGCTGCTGCTCCGGCTTCCTCTACAGATGCACGCACGTCTATACACAGGTGTCTATACATGGAGACACTTCCTCTACACAATAGTTCTCCTCTATGTATACTGTCAGGATATGCAATATATTAGGCTGTAAAACTGCTCAGTGTTGACACATTTCTGTCAGTGCAAATATTCGAATAGTAGTATATGTTATTTCAAGAAGGGAAATTAGCTATACTGGTAAGATGACTTTCATGTAGATATAATTGTTCCAGTAGTAGGATCTCTATTGCTTTGACTGACATATTATTCTGGCAGTTTTTTATTTTCAGTAGCACCCAATGCAAACAAGACATGCTCCTGTTTCCCCAGGGAACAAGCACCCTCCAGCTAAACCAGCCCAACGGCTCTGAAAGGTGACCTTGCAGGCTGGAACTCTGCAGATGTGGGACCTCCCTGTGCAGTCTGGCAGCTACTGGCAGGCACTGCTGTGTCATTCTCCAGTGATCCTGCAACTCTTACTTCATTTGAAGTTAATGGCATCCCCCTCTTCTGGTCCTGCCCAGGGCTGACAGTAGTTCACATTTCACACCTGTCGGAAGCTTT